TTGCTACAAAAGGAACCACCCTTAGACAGCCTCCAAGAAAGCACAATGACTTGCATGATAACTATTTTTACAGTAGTACAGCCTCACAGAGAAATCCAGCATGGTGTAGCAGTTTGAGTATTGGGCTAGCACACTGGGAGATCAGGAAATGGAGCATTGGGTGATTTGGGCAAATCACACTCTCTCAGCCTCAGAAGGAGGCAAGGCAACCCCCTCTGAACAAATTCTGCCAAGAAAACCTTGTGATAGGGTTGCCTTAGGGTTGCCATAAATCAGAAATTACTTGAAGGCACACAGCAACAGTCTCCTAGGAGGATTCCAGTCTGTATTGCAGTTCTCTGCATAATACAGAGTTTGGCCCTTCTTGAAATGTGTGGACATTACAGCTCACATGAACTGGCTATGATCCCATTTAGCCATGTAAATGAAATTGATATATTGGTGGAACTGTAAAAAGCAAGAGACAGAAGTTTGTGAAAAACCTATTCCTTTACTTTATTCCTTCAGGAAATGTCTGCTTGATGAATAAACAACCGCAGATGGAGCAGGTTTCTTCCTTTGCAGTTGTACCCCATATTTCTTTATTCCTTTCACATACAAAATGGGGACATGTCAGATGCAGCTGAAAAGTTCTTTTATTAATGGGGAAAAATCAGATATCATAATGATGAAACATAAGCATGATGAACCATCACCAGAATTAAGATTTTACTTTTTTAAACATATGGAACATCTGAGAAATTGTTAGGATGCTCAGCAGTTCAGCATGACAGCCACATGGTTTTATTGTAAGGTTGCTCAGGGCAGATTGGAAGCAAAGCTAACAACTTCAGCCCTTAAGCTCTTAGAGATCAATATGGGTTTTTTTGGTTTGGTTTTTTATTTTTATTTTTGTCTTGCTGCTAAGCTTCTGTTTGTCACTGCCATAAAGTACCTAAGCTATCTGAACAGTGCTAAGAGGCAACACCAATTCTACTTTTATCAAAACTTGTTAGTAGCCTTTATTCTGTTCTGCTCAGTGAAGGAGAAACCTTCCTATCCTTCACATGGGACAGTGATGGTTCAAGGAATAATGTCTTGTTATTTGCTTTGTCAATTTCTATGCTGCATTTTTCTCTTTTGAGTAAGCCTGCCAACCTCAAAATTATGAGCACAACAGGAGTGTTGCACTAAATAAGTCAATGCTAGAAAGCTAACAAACAGATAGGTGTTTGGAAAGCCTGGGAAAACTACTTTTGGGAACTGCTTTTGGGTGTTTCTAGAATCCTCCAGCCAGTATGGCTACTCACATTTCTCTTTTTCTCTAAATTTCTGTTTTCCATGGCAGCCATGAGTATGTCCTAAGCAGTATCTGCTACCACCCATGTTGCACAACACACTCTGGATCTGCTTTTCTGTGCTGGTCAGGACCAGTGGCATCACTAGGGGGATGAAGGGGGTTTGCACCGCACCAGGTGACAACCTAAGGGGGGGGGGGACACCACTGCTCCTCAAACACCTACCTTTTGGCAGAAACCTGCTTCTGTTTTAAATGCTTTAAGAGATGGTGGGAGTGAGGTGATGCTCAGTGGGAGGAGAAAGGAGTGGCCCTAGAATTTTTGAAAATTAAAATTTCAAATTCAAAATTCTATTTTTTTAAAAAAAATACTTTTAATTTTTTAAACATTCTTTTAATGTTTTCTTTAAAAACATCACACTTTAACCAAATCTTCACTATATATATG